AAATTCATGTGAAAATTACTACAATTACTAAATGACTAGTTAATAATGATGTGCCCCAACAAGTAAAGTCATAACATAATGATACCTTTGCAAATCAATTAATTAACCCACTATGTTAAAGGAATTGTTGACTCTAAAATTGATTTTTGGTATGTTTTATCTTACCTCAAGGGCATCCAAGATGTAGGTGTCTTTGTTTCCACAGTATTTTCAATTTTGATATTTTTAGGTCAAACCGTTCTTGTCTGTCAGTCATATAATGGAGGTCTATGGTCACCACCACGTGGCTGTGGTTACAAGAGGTAAAAAAGATATAAACGCTGTTCGTTTTCTCACACAAACCGCTCGTTTCGTGTCTTAGGCCATCAATGTGTACTTACATTTACGAGTTATTAAATCATGTTTAATTTGGACATCTCTGTGCATGCTCTTTGAGGTGGTGACCATAGACCTCCATTATATGACTGACAGACAAGAACGGTTTGACCTAAAAATATCAAAATTGAAAATACTGTGGAAACAAAGACGCCTACATCTTGGTCTAACCCGTTCAGCTGTTTTTAAATATATGGTGTAAAATCCATACATTTATTTCTGCAATTGATATATTAATACTTTTATTCAGCAAGGATGCATTAAATTAATAAATCGACAGTAACTATAAAGTTCTGTTTCAAATAAAAGCTGTTTTTTTACTTTCTATTAAAAAAAAAAAGATTTCCACAAAAATCTGAAGCAGCACAATTGTTTTCAACATTGATAATAATCAGAAATGTTTCTTGAGCATCAGATCATATTAGAGTGATTTCTGAAGGTCATGTGACCCTGAAGACTGGAGTAATGATGCTGAAAATTCACTCAAATAAATTACATTTTACTATATATTCACATAAAAAACAAGCTATTTTACATTGTAATAATATTACACTGTTTTTACCGTATTTTTGATCATTAAAATAAAATTTTGATATTTTTGAAATATCAGAAGAGACATTTAAAAGTCTTTTGAACGCTCATCTCTGATTTGGTTCTTCTCTTGCAGGAACGGTTATAAGTTCCTGTACTGTTCGGCTCGAGCGATAGGCATGGCAGACATCACGAAGGGTTACTTACAGTGGGTCAATGATAGAGGAACGGTCCTGCCCAAAGGCCCAGTGCTACTGGCTCCCAGCAGCCTGTTTTCAGCCTTACACAGGTGAGCACGTAGACACGAGCCGTGTGAATGTTAAATGAAACAGAAGCTGTGCTCATCTTTTCTCTCTTGTGTCGTATATCGATCGAGTGAAACACTTTCTGGAACAAGAACAAATGTGGGCGGGGCTTGATTTCGTCTGTGTCCGGTTGTGGTTTGCTAGTGGCTGATCTCATGTGAATGACAGGTTATAGCCCCGCCCTCGTCATCAGAGAAGAGGAAGATTAATCAATACACACCGCAATGTTCCATAAATGATCTCATGGTGATTTTATTGTAGTCTAATGTAGCCAGAGCCCTAAAGTCCACTTCCTGATCGCGGCACAGACGGCACTAAAGCTGAAAGCACCGTTAATGTAGTTGTTGTGTTTCTCAGGGAGGTGATTGAGAAGAAGCCGGAGGTGTTTAAGATCGCCTGTCTCACTGATATCAGGGATCTGTTCAGTCCCATCAGACATCCCTTCTACGCAGCCTTTGGCAACAGAACTAACGTGAGGCTTTCTGCAATGGTAGAAACACGTGCATCTCCAGGGAATATCACTGAGAGCCTGACCATGTTGTGTGTGTGTGTGTGTGTCTAGGATGCATACGCTTATAAGGAGGTTGGTGTGCCTGAAACTCACATATTCACTGTCAACCCGAAAGGAGAACTCATACAAGAAAAGACCAAAGGAAACAAATCCTCGTAGGTTACATCACTCTCTCTCTCTCACACACACACACACACACACACACACACACACTATACTATACTTGTAACGACATTCCATAGGCGTAATGGTTTTTATACTGTACAAACTGTATATCATATGGTTTACACTAACCCGACGCCTGGTTAGGGTTAGGGTTAGGGTTAGCTAACCCTGCCCGTCACACACACACACACACACACACACACGCACACACTAACCCGACCCCTAACCCTACCCATCACACACACACACACACACATACACTCTAATCCGACCCCTACCCTAACCCTATCCATCACACACACACATACACACTAACCCTAACCCTACCCATCACACACACACACACACTAACCCTACCCATCACACACACACACACACACTAACCCTAACCCTACCCATCTCACACACACACACACACACACACTAACCCTACCCTACCCATCACACACACACTAACCCTAACCCTACCCTATCCATCACACACACTCTAATCTGACCCCTAACCCTACCCATCACACACACACACACACACTCTAATCCGACCCCTACCCTAACCCTATCCATCACACACACACATACACACTAACCCTAACCCTACCCATCACACACACACACACACACACACACACTAACCCTACCCTACCCATCACACACACACACACACACACACAAACCCTACCCATCACACACACACACACACACTAACCCTAACCCTACCCATCTCACACACACACACACTAACCCTACCCTACCCATCACACACACACTAACCCTAACCCTACCCTATCCATCACACACACTCTAATCTGACCCCTAACCCTACCCATCACACACACACACACACACACACTCTAATCCGACCCTACCCTAACCCTATCCATCACACACACACATACACACTAACCCTAACCCTACCCATCACACACACACACACACACACACACTAACCCTACCCATCACACACACACACACTAACCCTACCCTACCCATCACACACACACACACACACACACACACACACACACACACACACACTAACCCTACCCTATCCATCACACACACTCTAATCTGACCCCGAACCCTATCCATCAAACACACACACACACTTACTCTAATCCGACCCCTAACCCTACCCATCACACACACACACACACACACACTAACCCTACCCATCTCACACACACACACACACACTAACCCTAACCCTACCCTACCCTCCCCATCACACACACTCTAATCTGACCCCTAACCCTATCCATCACACACACACACACACACACTTACTCTAATCCGACCCCTAACCCTATCCATCACACACACACTCTAATCCGACCCCTAAATCTACCCATGACACACACACACACACACAGTGAAATGTCATTATATTCATTTCTGTCCTCATAAATAAACAAACACATACACACTTACTCACTTCTATTTTCATTGCTAACATTGACATATAAAGAAAATGAAATAATTTAGTTTGACTGGCTTTGTGTGTGTGTGTGTGTGTGTGTTTCAGCTACTCTCATCTCAGTGAGATGGTGGATCACTTCTTCCCTTTCTTCAGTAAAGACTCATCCACGTCCTTCACCTGTCCTGAGTTCAGCCATTTCTCGTTCTGGAGGGAGCCGTTGCCTCTGCTGGATCTCCACGATCTGATGTAGTCTGCTCTAATCTCTCAGTGACCATTTTACACCTCCTTCTCAACACTTCTCCTTTATATAGAGCCCAATGTGTCTGTGCATTTACAGCCAAACCTAATGTAGCAGTTCAACTGGAGATGCACACACACACACAAGTCTATATTAGTGATACTATAACACTACACTGAGCAGCTCTTCCTGATCAGAAATCCTTGTTTGACCCCACAGATGGAAAGAAAACGCATGTGTGCCTTCACTATTACTATAACACTGAGCTGGGATTCTCATCTTCTCAACTTCTCCACCAAATAATGGCCTATATGTCACTTTCAAGGGTTTTTAATTGTATATTTTAACTTTTTGTTTTTGTTTTTTACACATATTTGAGTGGGTAAAACTTTGTTTTATCAGCAAATACTTTATACAACTAAATTGTATTTCTATTTATTTTCAGCATTCAAATTGAGCAAAGACAATCTACATATGTGTATTTGACTTCCATTTATTGTATTTAAAAGAACTTTGAAACAATAAAAACACTGAGTGACACTTGACACTTCGCTTGTCTGGACTTTCAGGAATATAGTTAGTGGTGTTTTCCATAGTAACCCTTATTTCCTGATAGTTCAGCATGGAGACACACACCTTTGACATGCTGATTTCAGGAACTGTGACACAAAAACTACAGGAATGATAAGGGATAGTGTGTGTGTGTGTGTTTTATACAAACTGGCTGGCCAAAATATATTTATTTATGTCAGGTTTCCTAAACTTATTTTTATCTGGTTCAGCGATTCTTGTCCACGACCACGTCCAAAAAATATTTTTGTCAAATGGGAACTGTTTAACTTGTTAATAAAGGTGGTTGTAGTTTTCTTTTATTTTCTGGTGTGATTCAAAATAAATAAAATCAGTAAAAGACGAAGGAAAGTATTGATTTTGAGTCTCTTTGTGTTTATATTGCGTGATAAAACAGGGCAACTTCTGTAAACTATTACATCATCATGTCGTGTTTTGCTGTTATCTTGGTTATCATGTGGAGTGAATGCTTCAGTAAACAGGTGTTCTGACGATTCATGCTACCCATCGAGATTTGCTACTTACCGGTTGCGCATGTGCAGACTCAGTTTTTTTTATTATTTATTTATTTGTTTTTACAAAAGGTACATTTTCCTGCTATAATGTATAATTTCCCTTAAAAAAATGCTTACTACCATATGAATATTTGTACGGTCAGCCAGCTGAAAAAGAATAACTGAAAGTTTCCGTTACTATGAGGAAATTGGTATACTTTGACAAGTCAAAGATGAATATTTTATGATAATTTTTACTTTTCACACCGTAGAACGGATCAACAGGACAGTTTGATTAAATAAAGGTGTGTGTGGCTGTAAATGCAGATCACGTGCGCTCCCTCAACGCTGACGATACACAGTGTTTTATGAACAATAATATCTATGGGTTACACACACACACATACAGTAACACACGAGTGATGATGTAGGCGGTACGACGGACGATAACGGCAGGGAAACGAAACTTGACCGATTATTGTTATCACTTCAGCGGTTAACGGGCGTTTTGACTCGATTTAGACGAAAACAGCCGTGTTGTGGTGACAGACATGCATCTACATCGAGTTCGGTGCGTGTTCTAGGTAAGACATGCACGCTTCTAATTTATGTTGGAAAATGGCTGAACATAAACAGCTAAAAGCGCCCACGTCTTTGTAAAATGATTTCTACTTGTACACTACACGCGATAAACAGCAGCAAGCTTTAGGAAATGAATGTGAGTTAGTGGTCATATGTTAGAGGAAGGTGTCAAAGTCGAGCCTCGTTCACACACACTCTGTCAGCGGGTTCATGGTGCAGGTTGATGCTCCTACTCGCCGCTAGTTTGCGTCGATCGTGACGCTTTATTGTAGCATTTGTCCACAAATAGCATCCCAGCTAACGTTCTCAGTCAGAACTTTGGCTGAGGTTCTTTCAGAGTTGTGAACAAACGTTTTTCCTGAAACGTTAATAGAACGTTTGTTCCTGGTTATCTGGTCTCATATTGTTAACATAAAACGTTTATTTTCAACGTTTTGTTGGACGTTTGTGTAAATGTTGCTCCTTGTTTCAGCCCAGATAGCACAAGTCTATTTGATGTGATGTTTATATGGAAGACAATATATTTTAAGAGTGTTTGCTCATCTGCAATACGTCTATAGGACGTTTACGTTAGATGTCAAATAGACGTTTAGAAGATGTCGTCGTCCAAGGATGCTCGTCCATTTCCGGTTGTGAAGATTTAAGCGGAGGAAAACCGAGGAAAATGGGATTATGGCAGAGTCTTCAAAATTTACTGTCCTCTCGTCTTTGAAACGAAACGTACATGTTTAGATGTAATTTTATATATAGTTATGTTTATTTAATATAATTTTAAAAAGAAGCATAAACACAACGAGGGGTGTCTGTTTTATGTGTTTTTGTGACTAACGTTTCTTTAGTATAACCATGGAGTATAAAATTCAACATAAATTCAAGTTGCTTTTGAATTTGAATAAATTCGAGAATTTATTCAGTTTGAATAAATTCTCGGTATTGCATTGGACTCTATGATCGGCGGAAGTTATCGAGCATCCTTACACCTTCACCGGAAATACCGCCGTGCATAGAGCCCATATGGTGTAAAAACGTCTTAGTGCTGCCCTCTTCAGGTTGAACGGTGGCTACTGCAGTTGAACTTTCCTGGATGTTCCGCACTTCGAGACGTACGCAGGTTTCAGCTCACCACGCTCTTGGCACGAGCTACGCCCTTTGGCAATATAAAAACCAGCTTGTTTCGTCAAAACCAGTCAGGAGTTAGAATTGCGAGTATTGAAAAGGATCAGGATAGAGCATCTATTTCGTCCCCTCTATCTCCGCTGGGGTCTGCCCACTTTTTCAGCATTTTTCAAATATTGCCAGTGGGTGGAGTCAGGCTCTGACCAGAGGTTTAGTTACCCTTTAAAGACATCTTCTAAACGTCTATTTGACATCTGACAGGAAACGTCCTATAGACGTATTACAGATGAGCCAACACTCTTAAAAATACGTCTTCCAGATGTAAACATCACATCAAATAGACTTGTGCTATCTGGGAGAACGCTCAGAGAACATTCAAATGTAACGTTTCCATGATGTTTGCAGAATGATAACATGTTCAAACTGGACGTTTTCGACATTCATAGAGCGTTCAGAATTAATGTTTTATTAACTTAATGTGGATGTAAGCTAAATGCTGGATGCTGTTTTATTTGATTTCAAGAAAATAGTTGTTTATTCAAAGAGATTCTTATCTTCTAATAAAGGCTTAGTTCACCAAAAAATGAAAACTCTGTTTCCATGTCTAAAACTCTGTCGTTCCAAGCCCGGAAGACTTTCGCTCATCTTCAGAACACAAATAAAGAGGCAGTACGACTAAACCTCATGGACAGTTTTTAATGTTTTATCAGACAATAACTACGGTACTCAATAATTTGCTTTAGTTTAATTTCCGGGACAATTTGGGCTGGATTTGAGACATCAGCTTAGATTTCGGGCCTGTCCTGAATTTTTCGGGATGTCTGGTCACCCTATTCTTGTGTTACGCAGTTCGTTTGAGCTTCACAAGAACCAATGAGGTCCATTCTTGTGTTACGAAGCACTTTTGAGCTTCACCAGAACCAATGAGGTCCATTCTCGAGTTACGCAGCACTTTTTGAGCTTCACCAGAACCAATGAGGTTCATTCTCGAGTTACGAAGCACTTTTGAGCTTCACAAGAACCAATGAGGTTCATTCTCGAGTTACGAAGCACTTTTGAGCTTCACAAGAACCAATGAGGTTCATTCTCGAGTTACGAAGCACTTTTGAGCTTCACAAGAACCAATGAGGTTCATTCTCGAGTTACGAAGCACTTTTGAGCTTCACAAGAACCAATGAGGTTCATTCTCGAGTTACGAAGCACTTTTGAGCTTCACAAGAACCAATGAGGTTCATTCTCGAGTTACGAAGCACTTTTGAGCTTCACAAGAACCAATGAGGTTCATTCTCGAGTTACGAAGCACTTTTGAGCTTCACAAGAACCAATGAGGTTCATTCTCGAGTTACGCAGCACTTTTTGAGCTTCACAAGAACCAATGAGGTCCATTCTCAGGTTACGAAGCACGTTTGAGCTTCACAAGAACCAATGAGGTTCATTCTCGAGTTACGAAGCACTTTTGAGCTTCACAAGAACCAATGAGGTTCATTCTCGAGTTACGCAGCACTTTTTGAGCTTCACAAGAACCAATGAGGTCCATTCTCAGGTTACGAAGCACGTTTGAGCTTCACAAGAACCAATGAGGTCCATTCTCGTGTTACGAAGCACGTTTGAGCTTCACAAGAACCAATGAGGTACATTCTCGTGTTACGAAGCACGTTTGAGCTTCACAAGAACCAATGAGGTACATTCTCAGGTTACGAAGCACGTTTGAGCTTCACAAGAACCAATGAGGTCCATTCTCAAGTTACGAAGCACTTTTGAGCTTCACAAGAACCAATGAGGTTCATTCTCGAGTTAGGAAGCACTTTTGAGCTTCACAAGAACCAATGAGGTTCATTCTCGAGTTACGAAGCACTTTTGAGCTTCACAAGAACCAATGAGGTTCATTCTCGAGTTACGAAGCACTTTTGAGCTTCACAAGAACCAATGAGGTTCATTCTCGAGTTACGCAGCACTTTTTGAGCTTCACAAGAACCAATGAGGTCCATTCTCGGGTTACGAAGCACGTTTGAGCTTCACGTGAACCAATGAGGTCCATTCTCAGGTTACGAAGCACGTTTGAGCTTCACAAGAACCAATGAGGTCCATTCTCAAGTTACGAAGCACTTTTGAGCTTCACAAGAACCAATGAGGTCCATTCTCGAGTTACGAAGCACGTTTGAGCTTCACAAGAACCAATGAGGTTCATTCTTGTGTTATGCAGCGCTTTTGAGCTTCACAAGAACCAATGAGGTCCATTCTCAGGTTACGAAGCACGTTTGAGCTTCACAAGAACCAATGAGGTCCATTCTCGTGTTACGAAGCACGTTTGAGCTTCACGTGAACCATTGAGGTCCATTCTCGTGTTACGAAGCACTTTTGAGCTTCACAAGAACCAATGAGGTCCATTCTCGAGTTACGAAGCACGTTTGAGCTTCACAAGAACCAATGAGGTTCATTCTCGTGTTATGCAGCGCTTTTGAGCTTCACAAGAACCAATGAGGTCCATTCTCAGGTTACGAAGCACGTTTGAGCTTCACAAGAACCAATGAGGTCCATTCTCGTGTTACGAAGCACGTTTGAGCTTCACGTGAACCATTGAGGTCCATTCACAGGTTACGAAGCACTTTTGAGCTTCAGCAAGGACTTTGTTGTCACGCATCAAGGAGGTTCGGTTGAGCGTCTTTTTATTTTCGCTCATTGTTTATATGTGAATAAAAGCCTAAATTAAATCTGTTCATCATAAAAATGGATTGAGTCTCTTCAGAAAATTTGGACTAATCCGCTCAATTCAAATGTATTAGTTTTACGATCTCTTTATGAACTTTTTGAAGCGTCAAAGTGGTAGTTGCGTAGCTGAGGGACAGAAAGCTCTCAAATTTTATCAAAAAGATCTTTGTGTTCTGAAGATGATCGGAAAGTCTTATGGTTTTTGATTGGAACGACATGAGGGTGAGTAATTACTGACAGAATTTCAATTTTTGGGTGAACCATCCCCAAACCTATTTCCCCCATTTATTTCAAAATTCCATGAGGAAATTACAAATACATTGAGAAAGTTACTGGAATTTCAGATGTACTTCTATTTTGAAGACAATTTGCCACATATATATTTGACCATATATGTAACTATACATTTTCTTTGTCTGTTATTGCATAGTTATCAGAGACAATCATAATGGCAGACTTGTATTCAGAGAGCTGTTTGGAGCCAGAGCTCACCTGTCCCATCTGTCTCCAACTCTTGCTCGACCCGGTCACTCTTCCTTGTGCTCACAGTTTCTGCCTGGTTTGCCTTGAAACACCTGATAGGGATAAAACATCTGGATCTGCTCAAGAACTTTGTTGCCCAGTATGTGGACAGGAACATCTCAGCCCAGAGTCCCTGCCGAGAAATGTCAAACTGAAACAAGTAGTTGAGAACTACAAAGCCAACAGTGTTTTGGGTGAACTTCAGCCCAGCGCAGAAGACAAGATTACCAATGATGAACCATCTTCAGAAGACAGAACAATCTCTGATGAGTCCACGTCAACAGATTGTGGGGAAAACTCTCTTGAGGAGACGGACGCCAATGGGCGGAGGTCTAGATTGAATCCCATTATAGCTAGTCTTCAAAAAAAGCTTGCTCTAGTAGATGATCTGGTCAATAAAGAAACGGCTAGGGAAGCTGCGGTCAAAGCGGCACATGCTGATCTGAGGAACGATGTGAGCAACGTTCTGGAGGAGATGGTAGAGCTCCTGGAGACCTACAGAAGGACTGGAATGACACTTTTGGAGGTCGAACTGAAGCCCAGGGAAGACGCTGTTGGGAAAAGAGTGGAAATGCTGTCAGATCTCCAAAAGCAACTGAGAACGGCTGAACTTCGGGTCAACGCCATAATGGGCGAGACGGAAGACGTGTGTTTCGGTGACATCGAGAGCCAAGTTTCCAGCTTGACCGTGGAGCCTCTGTGGGACTTTCCGAGCGATCTGGAATTATCCCGCAATTTGAAAAAAGTCTGTGAGAAAATCGAGCACCAAAACAACCAACTCCGTCTCGGACTTGGATCTGCTCAGAGGGCTTTACGGGTCATTCTCAACCCATCCGAGGTGACGTTCAACATCGACACCATCCATCCCAATCTGGTCCTATCGGAAGACCTTAAAACCGTGTCTTTTAGCGTCGCCAAACAGCCGTATCCAACCAGTTCTCAGAGGTTTACCAGTTTTTTCCAAGCTCTGAGCTCCCAGAGCTTCGTCCAAGGAGAGCATCTCTGGACCTTCCAAGCCGATGGTTGTCCTTGGGTTCTGGCCGTGTGCTACGATGAACTTCCCCGATCCGGTTCTAGTAGTGGTCTGGAGAGCAGCGCTGGATCCTGGTGCCTCATGTACTGTGAAAACCTTCTGAGGGCGTACGAAAAAGGAAAGGACACCCCACTTAGACGTACGCCATCCCTGAAGAGAATGGAGATACACCTCAGCTTCAGCTCTGGCACTTTAGCGTTTTACAGCGTTAGCGACGTGAGTGGGGATAAAACTCATCTGCATACCTTTACAGTGAGCTTTACGCACCCGGTGTATCTGGCCGTGAGGATGATGTCTGGTCAGCCCAAAGCTCACATAACAATCAACTAGCTATTTCATACACCTTACAATTGGACTAGTTATTGCAGATGGCATGGCATGTATGTATTTAGTGCACTGCATTACAGATGTGTTTAGGGAGATTATTTAAATGGCCATTAGAGTAAAACTTTCACCATGTGTAATTTTTTTAATTCATATTTGTCCTTTTCTGATGGAGTTATGATGCAATAATAAGCACTGAATGCATATTGATGCACATAAATTGTCACATGCATTCAGCTTGCAATGATTTAATTTAATCAAAGTTTGGTGTTTCTAGACTCGTGTGATTCATTTGAGCATGTGACATTAATACAAACCTACATTATTTTTGCTTGCCATTTACAACTATTCTTCTCATTCCTTTTCTGTTTTTTTTAACATGTTTATTAATAACTTTTTTCTGTCTACATTTTAATAAACGAATTATTTGCGTATTGCCTTTTTTCAAAAGCCCAAAGATAATTAAGTGGTGTATGTGGATCTGTGTCGTTTTTTTAGGCCATTTAAAATGCTTTATCATCACCACAAAACATATATATAATATTGGTACTGATTAACAATAGATGTGTACGATGAATTTGTTTTTACTTTAACTAATAGGATTTAAACAATAAGTGCAATTCAAAGTAAATACCAACACATTAAACAAAATATTAGAAGTCAAAGGTCAAAATTTATTTATATATCACCATTTATACAGACAAGCTGGCCAATGTGCTTTACAAAGCAATATAATATCACACAACAGACAGAGCAAGAAACATTAAGTGCAAATAGAAGAAGTGCAGAAGTGCAATATAAAACTAAAGTAAAATTAAATCAAATACAATAAAACCGATGTATTGTTTTCCCTGAGTCTTTTATTATGAAATGTCACATAGATGGCGGACATCTTTGAAACGACAACGCATGACTTTTATCTGACAAACGAATCGCGACTGACGCATCAGTTTCGTTCCGTCTGTAAACAACAAACAGGCGACACTCCGACTAAAGTTATTATGCCTCAACTAATAACCTATGATCACGTTAATGCCGAAACACACCAGCCTCTGATCTGAGATCATCTTCACTTAAAGGTGAGCTGTGTTTATGTGGTTTATCAGCTGATATATATAAATATATCCGTGCAGAAGTGTGTGTGTGTGAGAGAGAATTGTGTCATATGATACATTCCAATATAAACATTACATTCGTGCAATACACATACATACATTTACATATTATAGTTGATAGAAGCTTTGAATTTGTATTTGGATCAATGTGTGTTGTGTTAGACTGTGAGCTGTTATGTAACGTCATATATCTTTAAAAACACAAACACTTTTTTTTAAGTACATTGATATCATATGTCTATTTAAGGAACGATGAACAGCAATGAAATGATGTGAAGTGGGACAGTGTTGTTTTGGTATTATTTACATACTATTATACTATTTATGTGTGTTTTAATCAGTGTTTATTTGTATTAGCTTTAGTTATTATTTAATAGCTTTTTTGTGATTTTAGTTTTGTTGTTTTTCTATTTAGCTTAATTTTAATTTTAGTGATGTTATTACATGCCACGGCATTATTCAGAATTTCTAAAAGTAATTTATTTAATTTAAATGTGAAATTACTGTATTTTCGACATAGTTGGGAATCTTATCTTGTCCATTTTAACATTAATAACTATATGCATTATAAATATATGTGCTTTACATGCACCTAAATGCTTGGCGTATGGATATATGTGTAAACGGAGGTGGTTGTGTGTCTTGCAGAGGTGTAATCCAGAATGCTGGAGACCGTGACTGAATCGAGAAGGTTGGTCCATTATGGCAACACCAGTTTGTTTCCCACTGTGGAGAACAGCTCTCAGTTCAACCCTGACCATGAGATCAACATCACCAAACCACACAAGTGTCTGCAGATCCTGTACGACGACATCGGAGAGTCCAGGTAATGTCCTTTCAGAAGTGTGTATACGCAGTTGCATATTTGTCTTTGCTTTGGATTGTCTGAAATCATGTAGTCTTATTTGCATATACGCATACTTCCTATTTTCTAATCTATTTCTGTGTTGTGAAGTGAAGTGGTTGAAGTGTGTGTGTGTGTTAAATAAGTGGTGAAGCTGACTGTAGTTTTCATCTGGGCGCTCTGCCATGTTTGCATGCCTGAAGATTGCAGTTTCTGCTCAGTTTTCTCACAGATGCAGATGATCTTGTGTAGGATCTGACAGTAGACGCTTGTGAAGTGTGTGAAATGTGATTTCTGTGTGGAGGCCGTTTGCAACACGAGCTTTCAATTCTGCTTTCGTTTCTGTGCCAGGAACGGCTCTATCAAACGGGACTGTCCGCTGGATTTTTATTAAAAGTCCCTTAAGGTTCTGCTGGGACTGTTTTGTCTTCCCTTGATGATATGTGTGTGTGTCTTAAAGGAGTAGTTCACTTTTAAAAAATTTTTTGCTGATAATTTTCTCGCCCCCATGTCATCCAAGATGTCCACGTCTTTCTTTCTTCAGTCGAAAAGAAATTAAGGTTTGCACTGAAACTCTCTTTTGGACCTTGAACCGTTTGGACCCCATTGAAGTCCATTATATGGAGAAAAATCCGGGAATGTTTTCAAACCTTAATTTCTTTTCGACTGCAGAAAGAAAGACATGGACATCTTGGATGACATGGGGGTGAGTAAATTATCAGCAAAAGTTTATTTAAAGTGAACTACTCCTTTAAAGAGGCTCTTCAGAGACTCCAGATGTTTGGCGCTTCGGTCAAGACAACTTCCTCTTCTTGTTTGTTAAAATCACATATCAGCAAATTAAATAGAAAGAAAACAGTCGGCCTATTGTTTGGAATTTCCTTTTGTATCTGAGTAATGTTATTGTAAACTTTAGAGGAGTTTTTAAAAGCAAAAATTTGATTTTTTAAAATTTATTTAAAGAAAAGTGAGTTTAAAGCGGAGAGTTGAGAATATATAGTGCAGAAAAATCAACAATATTTATTTAAATGCAACTTTGACTAGATAATATTTTCATGTTTTGTATTACACACTACTTTTCACAAGATTGAACATTTAAATGTTTTGGAAAGAGCTGTTTTTTGTTTGAATATATTGTAAAATGTAATTGAAGAGTTCAGATGCAAAAGCCTCTAAGTGCCATTTGAAATTTTCTTCTTTAATGATCATTTTTATCAAGCTTGTATATTTAAGTTCAGTGATTTCACTTAAATGGCAATGATAATTACCTATTAATTGTTATTTAAGTGAAATTACTGAACTTAAATAATATACAAGTTTGATAAAAATCATCATTAAAGAAGAAAATATCAAATGGCATTTAGAGGCTTTTGCATCTGAACTCTTCAATTTATTCCTGTGATTTTCTAATATGCGGATTTGCTGTTCAGAGACATTTTTTATTATTATCAATGTTGACATCAGTTTTCAGGATTTTTTGATGAATAGAAAGTCCAAAAGAACAGCATTTATTTAAAATCGAATAGTTTGTAACATTATAAATATCTTTAATGTCACTTTTGACTTTTTGACTAAAAGTATTAATTTATTTTACTTTTATATATTATTTATAATATATATTATGATACTATATATATATATATATATATATATATTAATTTATTAAATAAATTAATTTTATAATAGTTGTCTCAAAACAGGTTAATACACAGAATTAGATATTTTGCAAGAACACAGGACATAATAATTCAATTATACCTTTCATTACATACAAGTTTGGTCTGCATATGTTTATTGTAAGTTGAGATTTCTTCATCAAGTAAAGCTTAAAATTACACTTTGTTGACTGCAGGAACTGCGAATACATATGTAAACTAGTATAAATAATGTATACATATATTATTCTTTTTACTGATTCAGAGAACAAGTTAAAAAGGAAAATTAGTCTGAATTATTTTGGACATTTTTATTCAATTATTCACAGACATCACTTTCATCCCCCTAATGTCCTCTACAAAGATACACACATAATAAAATATTCAGTTGTATATTTGCATAAAAAGCTATTTTCCATCACAGCGTTAAAGTTGTGTGTACTTGTAATGAACGCTGTCTTCACTCGTAACGGTTGGTCTCTGTTTGTCCGTCAGGGTTCGTTACTGGGATCTGATGCTGCTCATCCCGAACGTGGCGTTCCTGGTGTTCCTGGTGTGGAAACTTCCTTCTGCTCGCGCTAAGATCCGCCTGACCTCCAGCCCCATATTCGTGGCGTTTTACATACTGGTAAGCAGCAGAACACCTCACACGACCCAAAACTGCAATGTGGACGTTTGACTTCTGTGAGTGAAACCTCTAGCACTGAATCTTAAAGGGATAGTTCACCCAAAACTGAAATCTCTGTCATCATTTGCTCATAGGGTGACCTGACAACCCGAAATCTAAACTGTTGGCCCTAATTGTCCCAAAAATGATACTAAAATGCAAAAATCTTGAGTAGTTATTGTCTGATAAAATATTAAAAACTGTCCGTGGAGGTCGAGTTGGCTCATTGGCTGCCGCATGTTTTTTTTTGTTTTTTTTTTGAGGTTCTACAAAGATACCGTAGGCGCGAATTATATGCATTGATAAGCTCATTTTCATTCAAAATGTGAATGAAAGGTCTGATTTATGCACCGTTACTACAGTCATTGTTTTGTTCTTCTTCACAATCACATGTGAGTTCATGATTTTAATGTTGTTGTTTTTGTGGTAGACTAAAGACTAATGACAGACTGTTGATTTTTAAAATAAAAATATGTTTGGTTCAGGTTTGAAAATCATTATATTTTATTATAGGCTATGTAGTCTAATATCATTATAGGCCACCCGTCCCATCCCCATCCTGAATTTCTGCCAATCTCATCTGGTCACCCTATTCGCTCACCCTCACGTTGTTCCAAACCTGTAATGTTGAACACAAATAAGATATTTTGAAGAATGTCAGTGACCAGACAGTTGATGGACACCATAAGTAGGAAAAACAATTATATGGAAGTCAATGGCTCCTGGTTTCTTATTTTTTAGAAATAGAAATATCTTATTTTTTACCAACTTTACTCAAATATCTTATTTTTTACCAACTTTATTAAAAAATATCTTCTTTTTTACCAACATTCTTCAAAAATATCTTCTTTTTTACCAACTTTATTCAAAATATCTTCCCAACATTCTTCAAAATATCTTTTTTTACTAACATTCTTCAAAAATATCTTCTTTTTACCAACTTTATTCAAAATATCTTCTTTTTTACCAACATTTTTCAAAAATATCTTCTTTTTTACCAACATTCTTCAAAATATCTTCTTTTTTACCAACATTCATCAAAATATCTTCTTTTTTACCAACATACTTGAAAAATATCTTCTTTTTTACCAACATACTTGAAAAATATCTTCTTTTTTACCATATACTTGAAAAATATCTTCTTTTTTACCAACATACTTGAAAAATATCTACTTTTTTTACCAACATACTTGAAAAATATCTTCTTTTTTACCAACATACTTCAAAAATATCTTCTTTTTTACCAACATACTTGAAAAATATCTTCTTTTTTACCAACATACTTCAAAAATATCTTCTTTTTTACCAACATTCATCAAAATATCTTCTTTTTTACCAACATACTTCAAAAATATCTTATTTTTACCAACATTCTTCAAAATATCTTCTTTTTTACCAACATACTTCAAAAATATCTTATTTTTACCAACATTCTTCAAAATATCTTCTTTTTTACCAACATTCATCAAAATATCTTCTTTTTTACCAACATTCTTCAAAAATATCTTCTTTTTACCAACTTTATTCAAAATATCTTCCCAACATTCTTCAAAATATCTTTTTTTACTAACATTCTTCAAAAATATCTTCTTTTTACCAACTTTATTCAAAATATCTTCTTTTTTACCAACATTTTTCAAAAATATCTTATTTTTACCAACATTCTTCAAAATATCTTCTTTTTTTACCAACATTCATCAAAATATCTTCTTTTTTACCAACATACTTGAAAAATATCTTCTTTTTTACCAACATACTTGAAAAATATCTTCTTTTTTACCATATACTTGAAAAATATCTTCTTTTTTACCAACATACTTGAAAAATATCTACTTTTTTTACCAACATACTTGAAAAATATCTTCTTTTTTACCAACATTCATCAAAATATCTTCTTTTTTACCAACATACTTCAAAAATATCTTCTTTTTTACCAACATACTTGAAAAATATCTTCTTTTTTACCAACATACTTCAAAAATATCTTCTTTTTTACCAACATTCATCAAAATATCTTCTTTTTTACCAACATACTTCAAAAATATCTTATTTTTACCAACATTCTTCAAAATATCTTCTTTTTTACCAACATACTTCAAAAATATCTTATTTTTACCAACATTCTTCAAAATATCTTCTTTTTTACCAACATTCATCAAAATATCTTCTTTTTTACCAACATACTTCAAAAATATCTTCTTTTTTACCAACTTTATTCAAAATATCTTCCCAACATTCTTCAAAATATCTTTTTTTACTAACATTCTTCAAAAATATCTTCTTTTTACCAACTTTATTCAAAATATCTTCTTTTTTACAAACATTCTTCAAAAATATCTTATTTTTACCAACATTCTTCAAAATATCTTCTTTTTTACCAACATTCATCAAAATATCTTCTTTTTTACCAACATACTTGAAAAATATCTTCTTTTTTACCAACATACTTGAAAAATATCTTCTTTTTTACCATATACTTGAAAAATATCTTCTTTTTTACCAACATACTTGAAAAATATCTACTTTTTTTACCAACATACTTGAAAAATATCTTCTTTTTTACCAACATTCATCAAAATATCTTCTTTTTTACCAACATACTTCAAAAATATCTTCTTTTTTACCAACATACTTGAAAAATATCTTCTTTTTTACCAACATACTTCAAAAATATCTTCTTTTTTACCAACATTCATCAAAATATCTTCTTTTTTACCAACATACTTCAAAAATATCTTATTTTTACCAACATTCTTCAAAATATCTTCTTTTTTACCAACATACTTCAAAAATATCTTATTTTTACCAACATTCTTCAAAATATCTTCTTTTTTACCAACATACTTCAAAAATATCTTCTTTTTTACCAACATTCATCAAAATATCTTCTTTTTTACCAACATTCATCAAAATATCTTCTTTTTTACCAACATTCATCAAAATATCTTCTTTTTTACCAACATACTTCAAAAATATCTTCTTTTTTACCAACATACTTCAAAAATATCTTATTTTTACCAACATTCATCAAAATATCTTCTTTTTTACCAACATACTTCAAAAATATCTTATTTTTTACCAACATTCATCAAAATATCTTCTTTTTTACCAACATACTTGAAAAATATCTTCTTTTTTTACCAACATACTTCAAAATATCTTCTTTTTTAACCAACATTCATCAAAATATCTTCTTTTTTACCAACATACTTCAAAAATATCTTCTTTTTTACCCACATTCATCAAAATATCTCATAACAGTTCGGAAACACATGAGAGAGAGTGAATGATGAATTATCCCTTTAAATCACGTGTGTTGTTGAGAAGTTTTCAGCTGCTGCTCCATAAAACGTGTGAGAAAAGTTGATGATTGTGTTTTCTGTGTAGTGGTTTTGAGTGTTGTGCTTGTGGTCACGGGTGTTTCTCTCGTGTTGTTCAGGTGTTCGTGGTGGCGGCTGTAGGAATCACACGTGCAATAGTCTCCATGACCGTCAGCGCATCCATCGCCGCCACACTCATAGACAAGGTGAACACACACAACACACAGCTGTCTGAATGTGGACTTCATATTGAGTTCGGTCAATCTGTAATAATTTACAGTACTGCAACTACATACAACTTTAAGAAGCTATTTGTAGACATGAAAAGAAGTTTGGGGGGCAAATAATTTCTAAGTTATGCTGTATTTGACACACCACCATTCAAAAGTTTGGGGGTCCGAAAGATTATTTACACAGTGCGATATTAATACTATCATTTAGCAAGAAACATTAAATTGATAGAAATTGTCAGTAAAGACATTTATAATGTTATAATATAAATGCTGTTCTTTTGAACTTTCTATTTATCAGAGAATCCTGGAAAAAATATATATATCACGGTTTCCACAGAAATATGAAGCAGCAAAACTGTTTTCAACATTGATAATAATCATAAATGTTTCTCGAACAGCAAATCATCATATTAGAATGATTTCTGAAGGATCATGTGACACTGAAGACTGGAGTAATGATGCTTTGATCATAAATGACACTTTACTATATATTCAAATTAAATTGTAAATAATAATGATTAGACTGTGAAATTGTATGTTGTTTATATGACAAGTGATTGAAGGGACAGAACGTTATTACATTATAATGATGGATTATAAAAACAATGTTTCACAATCAGAGCCGAAACATGAATAAAGAGGGTAAATATCGTCTGTGGGTTTCATGTATTTGGTTCGGTGATGCTGTAATGTGAATCCGTCTGTGTGTGTGTTTTCAGGTGCTTTGGGAAATCACAAGGTTCTTTTTATTGGCTACTGAGCTCAGCGTCATCATCCTCGGATTGGCTTTTGGTGCGTTCCTGCTGCATTTTGGGATCTCTCTTCTCTCTTTTATAAAAATCTACTTTTTTAAAGAGGCTCACAGTGATTTAAAGACATTTCCATGTATTGTGAGAGCTTATTAAAATAATAATTATAATTATAATAAAATAATAAATATTATAATAAAATAATATATATATATATATTTTTTGTATGTGCTGCACTTCCTGTTAAAGTGACATGTTTTATGATTGTTTGTTCAGGCCATCTGGAGAGTAAGTCCAGCATCAAGCGTGTGTTGGCCATCACTGCAGTCCTGTCTCTGGCGTACTCCATCACACAGGTGTGTTATAGAGACATTCACTGCACCAAAACCCCTTAGTGAACGTGAACGCATCCTTAAAGTGCCCCTATTATGCTTTTTCAGATATGACCTTTCATGTAGTGTGTAATAGAGCTGTTTGTGAATGTAAAAGCTCTGCAAATGAAACTGATAATTCCAGTCTCACTTCCTAATTTGCATAATAACAGCCTCTGGTCTTGATTGGCTGAGCAGCGTCTCTTAGCTCCGCCCTCAATCACTGTAGTGTATCTGAGACTGGAAGAGATTGATACGGTAAAACACACGCCATCGTTACTGTTCGTATCACTGTGATCAAGAGCTGAGATTCAGATATGATAATGAGCCTTTGCTTTCTGACCAATCAGAGCAGAGCAGCTCTCAGAGAGGCGGAGCTTAGAGAGACTGAGAGAAAAGAGCTGATGCTGCAGTGGAGATTATGAGGAAATTAGTGTTTTTTGACCTTGGATGCATGTAAACTTGTTAAAGGAGACTCTAAAACACAATTAGAAGACTTTAAAATAGCATAATCAGGGCACTTTAACCAATTGTCATCTGTTCATGTTACTTCAGTTCTTAATGAGTCTGTTACGCTGTGGTAAATTCACTGTAAATGGGTTATTGCTTTAAAGGAGTAGTTCACTTTAAAAAAAAAAAAAAAACTTTTGCTGATAATTTACTCTCACCCATGTCATCCAAGATGTCCATGTCTTTCTTTCTTCAGTCGAAAAGAAATTTAGGTTTTTGATGAAAACATTCCAGGATTTTTCTCCATATAATGGACTTCAATGGGGACCAAACGGTTCAAGGTCCAAATGAGAGTTTCAGTGCAAACTGTTCAAAAGGCTTTAAATGATTTTGCACTGAAACTCTCATTTGGACCCCATTGAAGTCCATTATATGGAGAAAAATCCCAAAAACCTTAATTTCTTTTCACTGAAGAAAGAAACACATGGACATCTTGAATGACATGGGGGTGAGTAAATTATCAGCAAAGTAAGACCTTTGTTCAAGATATTTTTGATTAAATTTGAAAGGTGGATCACTACCACATATTAATGACTTAATTTTCATTTTTGGGTGAACTACTCCTTAAATACAACATCTCTGGCTTTCTCAGGGGACTCTGGAGATTCGTTTCCCAGACAAACACCTCTCCGCCAAAGACTTCAACATCTACGGCCACGGCGGGCGGCACTTCTGGTTGGCCAGCTCCTGTTTCTTCTTCCTGGTACCTAATTAAGTTCTTATCCTTTCATTTGAATCCGATCTGAGTTTATATAATCAATAATTGATGTTATTCTGTGTTACAATCTGTTTTAGGTGTATTCCTTAATAGTCATTCTACCTAAAACTCCAATCCGAGAGAGGATCTCATTACCATGTGAGTACAGGCCTCAGGTCAGGTGTGTTCAGTGTTTGCCGGATCATTCAGATGATGATGATGATGATGTGTTTGTCGTTCTCAGCTAAGAGGGGTTTTTACGTGTACGCTGCGATCCTGTCCGTGTTGAATCTGGTCCAGGGTTTGGGAAGCGCGCTGCTCTGCGCTGACATCATCGAAGGCCTGTGGTGAGAGTTCATGTGTTTCTGTCAAACCTGTTCACTCTTTACTTTTTAGCACCCCAGTCATTAGCTGTGTTTCCATCCAAAGCTGGGAATTTAACTTATGTGCAAAATTGAAATATCGCATAAAACATGTGCGAATAAAGCAGCGTTTCCATCCCGTGTGTTCAAGAGAACAACATCATCACTTCCTGGGAAATTAGTGCAAATTATCAGTAATAAAACAAGTTTCTGCACTTTTTCCCTCCATTATAACGAGTGTGTTTACACAGTAAACGCTGTTGCGTTCGGATGCTGGTGTTCGTGAACACACTCGTGTGTGTGTGTGTGTGTGTGTGTGTGACGCTTCTGAAGGGAATTGCACCCAATCATTCTGATCACACACTTCGACTCCGGCGTTTCAGAAACACCAAACCAACATTAGAGATGCTGCGACGCTATTGGTCCACTGGTTACTCCAGTTATCCAATCACAGCCTGAGGGAACGTCACATGAGTTTATTTGTTCTTATCGGGTAAAAAAATTATTATTATCGTTTTATTTGTGCATTTTTAGAATTTATGCGCATGTTGGCGTTTTATACAAAATTTTTTTTAATGCGATATCCCGCTTCACATAAAGATAGGTATTTTAAATTTATATTTATCAGTGTACTTTAAATAGTTAATTTTGCATACATCAAATTTCCTATGTTTAAATCTGTTTTATATCATATATTTGGCACTATGTCTTGCTCTCTAGATGCAAGACTCTTCTAATTTAATATAAAATCATTGTTTTGTCAATATTATACTATCAGCACAATGAGTGAACATGAATCTGAGATTGCCTTTGGTTTGTCTGATGAAATGAGAAAGCAAAGATAGTAGAAATATTGACACTTAAAGTGAGCTGATTATGCTATTTTAAAGTCTCTTAACCCCTTAACTGTCACCCCCCCTCTTTGAGAATGGGGGTTAAATGCTCTATTCACACTTAAATGGTTGTAATTCAAGAATGCCTTGGAATATATACCCAAGTTTGGTCTTGTTTTAAAGAAAACACTTCAAAAAATGAAAGTATGAAAAAGTTATGGAAGTTTTAATTCACAGTAAATCAAATATACTGTACTATATATCTTTTATTTTATATAAAATATATATTTTACAAAATATTTTTACTCTAAAATTACTATAAAATCAAAGTCATAAATCTAACCAAGTTATGTTCCAAATTTGAAGTTGATATCACAAAAATTGAAGTTCCCATGAGATTTTGTTTAGGCGTAGTACCAAAAATAGCCACCGGGTGCCATTGAATTCCATTGAATTTAGTTGTGTACATTCTGCCTTAACAAATTAATACATTTCTGTCCAAATATCAATTTTGTCACAAAATTTGGAACCTTGAGACTCAGACCTTTCTGACAATATGTGTTTTGTCAAGATTAGAAAAGGTTTTGATCATAAATTATGAAATATAAGGATGCCCAAAAGGGGAGGAGCCTCATAAAATAATTACCGTTTCTATGGTAACGCAACGTTCAATTATAAAATGGTTTTCACAGGATGAATTCTGAGTTTATAAGCTTTCAAATGATATCTAATTTATGATAACTACTAAAATATGTGATATAATAAAAAAAGGCGATACAAATATTATTATATTTTAGAGGATAATATATACATATATATTATAATTTTTAGAGGATAATGTTATACTATACTTTTTATTTTTTATTGAAAAATACTAGATTATATGTTTTATTATGAACTTTTAGCATAAAAACAGAAGTTTCAATGATTAAAAGTGGGTGCATCATCTTTTTGTGACAAAGGTCAGACCTCCTGTTATGATGCAGATTTTTTTAGGTGCACTCTTGTCATAAATTCATTAATTACTCTTCCTACATAATTTTTAACACAAAACAGGGGTCGAATATTTAATTAGAAGTCTTAGACCTTTCCAAAAATATATAATATGTCATAATTAGATTAGGATTTAATAGAAATATAGTGAAGTAAAGTTAGGCGTCCCGGTACCGGGACGGTGACAGTTAAGGGGTTATTTGTGTTTTAAAGTCTCCTTTAAAGAAGACATTTGGCAGATTTGTATCGAAGTGAAATAAATTAAGAAAGTGAGAAAGAAAAAAGTTATAGAAGTTTTAGTTTATGGAAATGTACAATGTAAAAAAAAAATAATGATTCATATTTTATATAAAATATATATTTTCAAAACCTGGGCTACTCTAAAATCTAGCCAAAAATCTGAACAAGTTGTGTTTCAAATTTTAGGTTGATATCTCAAAACAATAGCTTTCAGTGCGATTTCGTTTGGGCGCAGTACCGAACGCTTCCACTAGGGCACAAACATTACTGCCCATATAACAGCGCCTCCATTTCCATATATGTTTTGAGTGATCTGAACCATCATTTACACAATTTTCATCCAATTTATGAAGTAGAGATCTTATTGCAAAGTAGTTTGGGAAAATTTGGTAGATTGTGATATGAATTCAACCTCTACAAAGAACACGCATGCGCGCTTATTGTCCCATCACAAATGGTGAATTTATTATTTTTTTCTTATTATTTAAAACATTTTCAGACATTTTACTCTAAAATAATTGAGTGGATACAATCTTTTGAACTCTTGGCATGAAAACAAACATGATTTTTCATGATTTTTTTTCATGATTTTTCAAAATAAAGGTCTGAACACGCTTTATGAGTATGAAAATATCCTTGTTGCAAATTGATAAATTACGGCTTCTGTGTAATTTATTTTGAAAATCAGTCACCAAAAATAGAAACTAGAGATTGTAAGCTGTAGTTTGTCAATATAACTTAAGGTCTTTAAGATATTATTGTTTTAAAAATGTAATGGGACGTGACAATTAAGGGGTTAAAACGAGGCCAATTTTATGTTTATATTCCAAAGCGTTCTTGAATTACAACCTAAGTTTGAAATGTGCATTTCCATGTCTGTTCAGAAAAGGGGGGTGACAGTTAAGATATAATACAATGTTTACCTTTACGAATTGCTAAATGTCTATGTGTTTTGAGGTATAGCCTGATTCCTGATGAAAACAGCCTGTGTGTGTGTGTGTGTTTGCAGCTGTGTGGACGCGACCACATTCCTGTACTTTTCCGTCTTCGCTCCTCTGATCTACGTGACGTTCCTCAAAGGATTCTTCGGGTATGTAGACCCGGCTTCGGCTGATTCTCTCACAGGATATTACACGTCGTCCACTCGCTCCTGTCAGATTACAGAACTGAGGAACTGGAGATGTGTTCAGGGATGAGGAGAATCAGCTTCTGTGCTTCTCAACTTCCTTAAAATGCCATAGGATTATATTTCTAATATAGCAGAATCAGCCTTTGAGCTGGGGAAGTTATGAGTCCAGAATGTTGTGACTGTGGTGCTCCAGGTAAAACATTAGACTATAATCTCAGGGTATGTTTCATTATCACCAAATATTTGATTCAGTCTTTTTGTCCACTTGTTTTCGTTTAATTACATCAGGCTTTGTGTTTGTCTGAAACTGACGGACTGACTGTGGGCCTCGTTGATCTGAGCTCATAGTGAAACTGACCTTTAGTGTTCAGGAGCAACTTCATCATGTTCTCGTATTTACACGTGTGTTTGCAACGATAAAGGACCTGTGCATACTCTCACACACTCTCTTACATATACACACACTCACTCACAAACACACACACACTCACACACTTGCACGAAAATACACACTCAGACACGCAATCACACACACACTCTCTTACATATACACACACTCACACGCACGCGCTCACATGCATATACACTCACACACACTCACTCACGCACTCAAACACATGCATACACACACACTCACGCACTTGCACGAAAATACACACTCAGACACACAATCACACACACACACACACTCAAACACATGCATACATACTCACGCACACACTTGCACAAAAATACACAATCACACACACTCAAACACATGCATACATACTCACGCACACACTTGCACAAAAATACACAATCACACACACACACACACACACTCAAACACATGCATACATACTCACGCACACACTTGCACAAAAATACACAATCACACACACTCAAACACATGCATACCTTCTCACGCACACACTTGCACAAAAATACACAATCGCACACACACACACACACACACACACTCAAACACATGCATACCTTCTCACGCACACACTTGCACAAAAATACACAATCGCACACACACACACACACACACACTCAAACACATGCATACCTTCTCACGCACACACTTGCACAAAAATACACAATCGCACACACACACACACACACACACACAGACACACACACTCAAACACATGCATACGTACTCACACATACACTTGCACGAAAATACACACTCAGACACACAATCACACACACACACACACACACTCAAACACATGCATACCTTCTCACACACACACTTGCACAAAAATACACAATCGCACACACACTCAAACACACACACTCAAACACATGCATACGTACTCACACATACACTTGCACGAAAATACACACTCAGACACACAATCACACACACACACACTCAAACACATGCATACCTTCTCACGCACACACTTGCACAAAAATACACAATCGCACACACACACACACACACTCAAACACATGCATACGTACTCACACACACACTTGCACGAAAAAACACACTCAGACACACACACACAGACACACACAAACAAACACATGCATACGCACTGACGCACGCACGTCCACGAAAATACACAATCGCACACACACACACACACACACTCAAACACATGCATACTTACTCACACACGCACTTGCACGAAAATACACACTCAGACACACAATTGCACTTCGCACACACGCACTCAAACACATGCATACGCACTCACGCACACACTTGCACAAAAATACACACTCAGACACAATCGCACACACTCATGCACTCAAACACATGCATACATACTCACGCACACACTTGCACAAAAATACACAATCACACACACACTCTCAAACACATGCATATGCACTGACGCACACACGTGCACGAAAATACACACTCAGACACACAATCGCACACACACACTCAAACACTCAAACACATGCATACATACTCGCGCACGCACTTGCACAAAAATACACAATCGCACACACACACACACTCAAACACATGCATACCTACTCACGCACACACGTGCACGAAAATACACACTCAGACACACAATCGCACACACACACTCAAACACTCAAACACATGCATACATACTCGCGCACGCACTTGCACAAAAATAGACAATCAGACACAGTTGCACACACACACTCTCACACATTCACACTCACTTACGCACTCACACTCATGCATACACACTCACACTTTCACACTTACGCACACACTCATTCACACACAATCACTCACGCACACACACACACATTTTGCACACACTCGCACTTGCGCTCACACGCAGGCACATACACACACATTCACACACACACACTCACGCGCACACACACCGTACATACTCGCACTCAAGCAAGTGCACACACACTCACACATTCACACTTTACCACACACTCACTCACGCGCACACACACACCGCACATACTCACACTCAAGCAGGTGCACACACACATTCACACTTTACCACACACTCATTCACGCGCACACACACACACCGCACACACTCACACTCAAGCACACATAGGAGCACACACACACTCACACTTAACCACACACTCACGCACTAATGCACACACACACACACATTCACACTTTACCACACACTCACTCACGCGCACACAGTCCGCACACACTCACACTCAAGCACACATAGGAGCACACACACACACTCACACTTAACCACACACTCACGCACTAATGCGCACACACACACATTCACACTTAGCCTCACACTCATTCACACAAACACTCTCACGCACGCACACACACACACGCGCCACAACAAAAACAAACAAAGCATCTTGACAGAGTCCACTGAAGGGATGCACGAGATGACGACGGCTGTTTTTCTGTGTTCCTCATTCCTCTCCAGTTCCGAGCCCAAAATCCTCTTCTCGTACAAGTCCCAGATCGACGAGCCGGAGGACTCGGACGTGCACCTGCCCAACACCTCGTCCTCGGGCCTGAGCCGCAGAGAGCTGGACCACGGCTCGTACTCCAGCACGCAGATCGACGGCTCCGGCGCATACCTGGACGACGTGGTGTCGGGCCCGTTCGGCGGAGCGCACAGCATCAACAGCATCGACAGCGACCGCTGGAGAGCCCTGAACGCGTGACCTCTGACCTCCGGGACGTTTGACCTGACCCGTCAGTGCTGTTATTCAAACATATGTATTCCATGAATCCAACATTCCTTGTGTAACAACAGTGCTCTTAATTTCACATCTGTGTACTCAAAGCGAGTTTCTTGGACTTTGTGAAGTGCATAACCTGATATATTTCTTCAGAAATGTTTGGCTGGATTAGCTAGATGCGCTACTGATGCCAGCGAAGACGTTTCTTTTCAACCGTTAGGGTTGTTTTGCACTGAAAGTCATTCATTTTGGTGCATGTTGTAATTTGAAGACCTAAAATCTACCTTGACTTTGTTCATATGCTTTATATGCATCTGTTTCTCAGTGCTATATCATAGAGTTTTCTTTTGATTTTTATTTATTTTAGTGATATGTTGAATTTCGTTTTAGCCTGTCATTAGATTTGGGCTCAGTTCTAATGTTAAAGCTTAAATCGTGAGCTTGACCTTTGACCTTCTGTCTAACTGATCAAGTCTGATTTATTATAACATCATTCCATGTGGGAGACAAAAGGACCATACTGAGAAAGCATTTGACCCGCTTTATTTTATTTGATAAAAATACTGCAACGTAACTTTTTTCTTGGTGCACACACAAAAAAAAAAAAAAAAAAAAAAACGCAGCGTTTTTGGAAAACACTATAATCATATTCAATTAAATTTGGTCTGAGTAAAATGCTTGCTTCTTATTGCTTATTTCTTTTAATATGATGAGCATGGAGAAGAATTTATCTATTCAGAGATGTGTTTGGATGCTCTACTTTGGTTGTTTGTTTTTTGTTTTTTTACCACATCAGTAGAATTTAAGTAAATCAAATTAATTTTGCACAGTAAGATAACTAATATTATCTGAAATTCAGTTCAAATTGGCATATGCTCGTGAACTTCACCCTCCCTGTTTATTTCATCTTCTGATTTTGTAGCCTACTAGTAGAAGCATATCTCAAAGATATTTTATAATTTAATATTTTCTGAAATGCTCTCTGGCAGTACATGAGATGTATTTTAATCAGATGAACACTGAAGTCCAGCAAAAATACAAAAATACTTATCTTGAATAAAGAGGACCGACGAGGACTTTTATTTTGAACATACGTTACAATGACGTGCTTTTCATAAGCAGGAACTGTCAGACGCGAATAACGTTTTATTTCAGTTTAATACCATTAATAAATGAACGTTCCGACCCTTCTTCTACATTTTGACATTCCAGATGAATAAAGCAGTTTCCATTCTGTGATCTGTGCCTTTATTTTTATGTTATATCGAAAATGCTTCACACACTGTCATCACGTGATGTCTATCAACTTCCCGACTCTTATTTATTTATTGCACGTTTCATTTAAGTGCTGCGTGAAGGAAATAAAGATGTCAAAATTAATGTCAATAAAACTTACCATACGAAATAAAAACAGATTTTTTTTATTCTTAATAGATAAAAGATACTTTTAATGTAATAAAAAAAAAAACAACAAGAGCAAAAAGAAAGGAAAAAGTCTACCCGTATTATTAATATTATTTGTGGAACATTACATTATAATAAAAATAAATGGTGAAATAAAGTGCATTTCTCAAACTCTCTTATTTCTGTAAATTTCTGTTTAATATAATATTTCACTACAATAATTTAAAAGGATAGTTCATGAAAATTCTGCCATTAATCACTAATCACATTAATCACCGAAAAATCTTCGGAACACAAATGAAGATATTTTTAATGTAATCTGAGAGAGAGAAGGCACAATTTACTACTTTATTTACAAAATATGAATCTCTAACATTCAGGAGAGCACCACTACACATGTGTTGTGTTGACGAGAGCAGATGTTGTTGCGTGAACCTGATTTGGAGATTAATATTTTATACATCGTGTGGTCAGTTATGTTTTTAATTTAATTTTATATTTTATTTATTTATTTTATTTTCACAAAAATAGCACTCAATCCCCTTATAAAATTGAGATTTAACCTCTGGAGTCACATGGATTTCTTTAATGTCTTTACCTTACTGGGGCTTGAAAGTGGTAGCAGAAAGCTCTCAGATTTCATTAAAAAGATCCGAAGATGAGCTCTTTTTTAAAAAGTGTTGCCTTCTGGAGCACTTTCAATATTAACACATAAAATACGTGATTTATATTAGTAAAGTACAACGATAATCAACCAAACAAACAAAACGAATTAATTATATTTCGAGCTTTTTTTTTTTTCATGTCCGGATAATTTTATTTTATTTATTTATTTATTTATTTATTTGAAGAAACATGTAAATTTACAAATACATTCAGGAGAACATAAAAGAGGTAAAGCAAAGACAAATTATACAGAATAATTCCAAATCAAGTGCCATAAAAATAATTATATCACATTACAATTATACAACATAAAATAAAAAAATAATAACACAAATAAAATAAGCAATGTATGATATATTTCGAGCTTTTTTTCTCTCACGATCTCTGTGCGACGTCACTGTTTTTTAATTTAACTACATTTCCCATGATCCGTTTCGCGTCCACATCATGACGCAGTGATACAGTGATAAACTGTGTGATGATTTTATCCGCGTGTGAGGGACGCCGTGTGACCCTGAGCTCAGTCGGCGGCTGAGATTGTAATATTTGTGCTGATTATGGGGGCCGCTGACAGCAGGAGCGGGTCTGTGTCTTATGGACTGGACGAACAGGACAGTGTGACGGTCCTGCAGGGGGTGAAGGTGACAGACTCATCATCATCATCATCATCACTGCACACACACGCACACACACACACACACAGTTAGATCCTGATACTGTTATATTACTTCAATGCGATATGTGCGTTTATAAACAGAAGACTAATGTAACTGTCCTTATTGTGCTTCTGAACTTCAGTGGCACTGAGAAAGTGAAAGTGTGTGTGTGTGTGTGTGTGTGTGTGTGTGTGTGTGTGTGTGTGTGTGTCTTGGCTGCATTTATTCATGTGATTAAATCTGCTCATTTTAAACATGTTTGTTAATGATCAGTGCTGGATCTGTGTTGAGACATTGAGACCTACTGTAATATTATCTGCTCTCGCTCAAGGTCAATGAATGACAGAACAGTGAGAGTGACTTATCTGTGAACACTGTGTGTGTGTGTGTGTGTGTAAGAGAGTCATGACATAAAAGTCGAAATTGTGACACACTAACTATTGACTTGCACAGTGTCTTCTGTCTAGCCAAAAGCATACTAGAGTGAAAGTTTTAAAAAGTTTCTACACTTTTGTAAATGCAGGATCATTTATAATATTTTACGTGTGTGTGTGTGTGTGATCTCAGCTGTCTGGTAATGTTCTCCAGCGGATGCGGGAGTCGGGATCTTGTCCGGGGAAACCGGCCTCACCCAAACCAGAGAGAGACACACCTAATCCAGGTACTGCTACTGCCACACACACACACACACACACACACACACACACTCATCTCACTGCGACACACTCATCTCTCAGCAACACACACGCATCTCTTGCTGTGTCTGATGTTTCAGGAGCTTCCAGACCTTCTGCAGGAGAGACACCGGGGGAGCTTCGGAGACGGTGAGTGTGTGTGTGTGTGTGTGTGTGTGTGTGTGTGTGTTTACAGCAGACATTCAGGTCTATCACAGTCTCTGCTATAATATACTGTATACTCCATATATTGATACTGTATACTAATATATTTTAATAAATAATTGATATATATATTATCTCAATGGTTTAATTTGTATACTATATTAAAATATATACATATATTCATTATATATTGATGATATAATTTTATTTATTCCCCCCTTTATATATTAATTTAGAATATATTCCTTTATATATATATATATAGTATAAAAACATGAGATAAAAATAGATATTTTTAAAAAATATTTTATTAATATAAAATTTGTATTGTTTTATTTTTCAATTATGCACATTTCTACCCAAATTCTCGTTCTAAATTCCAAATCCATAATTTCAGCTTTTTTTGTTTTTGTAATCCTGTAATGTGATTATTTAAATCATCGTTCATTAAAAGCATCATTGTATTGTATGTGTGTGTGTGTGTATATATATATATATATATATAGTATTATTTTGCATTTTTATTTTGCAAAATATAATATATATTTTATACAAAAATGTAGTATTTTTATGTGCTTTTGTCATTTTATTATTTTGTTATTTTTAATATTACTATTTATGTTTTATTTGAGTATACGTGTTCCTTTATTCTCAGTCAGTAATTCCAGTAGTTATTTCAGTTAGTTGACATGCAACATTTGTAATTTTCACATTTTTTCATCTAATATAATTTTTATTTACTTGATTTACTTCATTTAACAAAAATGTTTAATGGTTTTAGTTAGTGATAAAAACCCTGAAAATCATCACATTTTAATAATACAATGATGCATAAATATTTGTCAGTTTAAATAATATATCATTAGTTATTATGTTCACAGTAATGAGAATGAGATGCGCGTGTGTGTGTGTGTGTGTGTGTGTGTGTGTGTGCAGGTACGAGCGTGAACAGGCTCTGGTCCAGGAAGAGTTGACCCGGATCGCCCGTCGAGAGAGAGAGACAGCGATGGGAGACGACATGAGAGAGAGAGCAAACACACACCCGGACCTGCAGAAAACACACACCCTGGTGAGACACTCTACACACACACACACCTGTGTTTCCAATCAAAGCTGGGAATTTAACTTGTGCACAAAATTTGAATATGGCATAAAATCATTTGTAAATAAAGCAGCGTTTCCATCAAGAGAACAACAGCATCACGTACTGGGAAATTAGTGCAAAATATCAATAATAAAACAATGGAGTTACTATTGGTCCACTGGTTACTCCAGTCATCCAATCACAGCCTGAGGGAAAGTCACATGAGTTTATTTGTGCATCGAGTACCTTAACATGTTTCATTTCTGATTTTACAAAGGAATATTTTATATGAAGAACTTTCAAGTAAAAATGATTTGTTTGTTTTTTGAATTTATCATTATGACGCGTGTGATTGGTTGATTTCACGTTTGCGTGCTTTATGTTCCATTAAACTAATTTTAGATTTTAAAGGTGTATTTTATCTAATGTTTAAGTTCAAGTGTTTTGGAGAAGCGTAAAGCATGTTGATCTCCAGCTAGATCTTGTGTTCTGTTATGATTAGTGTGCACTAGATGGCAGCCGTGGCCTTTGATTTTCATATTTCATATTCATATTTTCATATTGCTGTTTGAGGCCATGCTTGATATTTAATCGCTGTCATTTATTATAACCAGGCTTCATTCATAATTTGTTTTTGCTTACAATATTTTATTTTTGCAATCTCTCTCTCTCTTTCAGTTAATTTTCTGTCAGCTGAAAAAGTATAAATAAAAAGTTTAGTTTTAACATACAGTCATAATTGCCATTATCAACATGTCAAAATTCTGAGATAAAAAGCCAAAATTATTTGTCTTGTGTGTCATAATTTAGATTTTTTTATCTCATCACTTAATCATATTTATGACTTCTTAACCCTTAATCTGCCACACCAAGAAAAGGCATTAAAAACTGTGTTTTTATTTTTTTTTTTTATCTCCTTATGTCGCTAGTTATCACATTTATTTTTCAATATCGGCCTCTACCAAATGGTTGATATGTTAATTTATTGTAAAGTACCGGTATTCATACACATACTATGAAAATCTGAAAATATGAACTATAATACTAATTTATTTAAAAACCTAATCAAAAATGTATTTTTGTATATTGAATCTTCTTTATTTATTAAAGTTTGCCATGAAATATTTCAGGTTTTTAGAAACAATTTTAGTAATGTTACACCAGCATTTGTCAATTAAGAAGTAATTGCCTCTGATAATTATGATTCCCACACATTAATTCTATGAATTTATTATATTTACTTAATATCCCATATTGAAAAGTGGCAAAAAAAATACTTAAAGGTAAATTTTGTTTTTGCCAAATAACTTTTTTTGCACTTAAGAAATGATTTCAGTGTATTGATGAAGAAATAATAATAGCTGTGTCATATTCATAGCTATAAATGATCAGAATGTCTGAGTGCAGAAATAGATGATCTGAAACATGAGCTCCGCTTTTCTGTTTACCATAATGTGTCAAATCAACCTTTTGGTTGAGCATGTTTTTGAAAAATTATTAAAAACATACTAAAGTTTTTTTCATGGCACCAAGTAACATAATTTTGTAAAGTTAGGCCTCTTACAGTGTGATATGTCAAAAAGATATGCT